CCCCGGGAAAATTTTGAAATTTGAACACTTCTTTGGAGAATTTTGAAGCCATATGCAGTTATATTGAGGAAACTGGAACATTGAGACAATTTTAATTAACTGTATATTTATTGATAGCGTACAAATTCCCAACACACACACACACAAAAGTGAGACATGACATATTGTAATATGTGGAGGTCCTCAGATTGTGGAGGCCCCTGGGCAGCTGCCCACTTTGCCCACTCCTGAATTCGTCCCTGGCCCAGTGATTATTTGGTCATCTCTCGAAGGTCGTCATGTTTGTAGACTGACCAACTTGTTAAGGTTCCAGTGAATTTATCAAAACAACTTTGAATGGCTTTCTTGGGTTAAACTTTTGCGCTGTCTATTGTACCCTCCATTTTCTCTTTATTTTTGTGTGTGAATAACAAGTGTACATCCGGATAATTTTTTAAGTGATAATATCAGAGTAATTGGCCTTTTGACCGTCTGAGTTCATACTGAAGCGGGGAACATAAGATATTTCAGCTTATTTGTGGTCTATAGATAAGTAATGTGTGTAAAGGTGAACGGGGGAGTTGTTACTGTACCTCTGAATAAGCGTTTTTATCTTCCTGTGTTTCTCTCTTGTTCTTGGGTAATTATCTGAGTAATTGTTCTTTTGTCTGTATTGTTTGGAGGTAGACTAAGAAATATATGTTCAAGGAAACTAGCTAGAATTGTAGGGCAAGTGTATATATTTTGACCGTGAAGCAGTGTTGCTCCCTAGGGCATTTTCAAACAATTGACAGTCTCTAGCATATTTCGGGGACCAGCCGGGGTGACTGTAGTCACTACTCCAACCTTAGCTCTCTATCATTTCCTTTGTTTTTCCTGCAAACAACACAACGGTGGCCGATGTTTAGAGCCATATGTTTTTATGTACCGGTCTCCTTGGCCAACTTTCGCTGATACACCCTCAAAAATTCCCTTTTGGTTAATTCAACAAGTTATTGGCAAGATTGCAAGAGAGGGAGGGTCGGTGTACGAGTGCTGACTAACACAAACTTGAATCATCAACGAAATATTTTGGTACTCTTTCCAATTGCCCTTTTGATAAATTTTCATTTCCTCCCCCCTTTCCTTGTAAGGGTATTTTTTCCCTAAAAAGGGAAAGTTCCCTGTACCTGGCAACACTGCCTTGGAGTTTTTATGAGATAATTCGTAATTTTGACACTACATGATATAACACGTAATTCCGTAGATTCAGATAATAAAACAGTTTAAATTAATTTAAAATTGTTAATGAATACTGTATTACAATCGCCCTTCGGCCTATTGCAGCTTAAAGTTGGAGGTAATAGATGTGGATTTTTAATATTTGTAAATTATTCTACTATACACAACATGCAAATTTATATAAGTATCGATTTCAGTTATTTTTGTGATGATAAATTGAAATATTAGAAGGTATAAATATATTTCAAAGAGATAAGTCAAAATATGGATAATTTAGGTTTTCAATTGACAATGGCTTGGCGCGACAATATAGTGTACTGCATCATGTCGCCGGTCGGTCATCTATGGTGTTATTCCTCAATATGGTGATGTGTTAAGTGCTTTATTTTAGTGGCTGTGATATCAAGAACATATAGTCGTCAAGTTATGACTGAAATCTCGACTCAATAAGGGTAAGTAACATCATTTGTCAGGGAAGTCTTAATATGGCGTTTCTATCACTAGGCAATCATGTACTATTTTCTGCAAGACGACCGAGAGAGCTCACGTGATCTGTTATATACTGTTCTTATTGTTCTTCGCTTGTAGTGTTAGATCATTTATTAGCTCACGTGATCTCTGTTATATACTGTTCTTATTGTTCTTCGTCTGTAGTGTTAGATCATTTATTAGCTCACGTGATCTCTGTTATATACTGTTCTTATTGTTCTTCGCCTGTAGGTGTTAGATCATTTATTAGCTCACGTGATCTCTGTTATATACTGTTCTTATTGTTCTTCGTCTGTAGTGTTAGATCATTTATTAGCTCACGTGATCTCTGTTATATACTGTTCTTATTGTTCTTCGCTTGTAGTGTTAGATCATTTATTAGCTCACGTGATCTCTGTTATATACTGTTCTTATTGTTCTTCGCCTGTAGGTGTTAGATCATTTATTAGCTCACGTGATCTCTGTTATATACTGTTCTTATTGTTCTTCGTCCATTTATTACTCACGTATCTCTGTTATATACTGTTCTTATTGTTCTTCGCCTGTAGTGTTAGATCATTTATTAGCTCACGTGATCTCTGTTATATACTGTTCTTATTGTTCTTCGCTTGTAGTGTTAGATCATTTATTAGCTCACGTGATCTCTGTTATATACTGTTCTTATTGTTCTTCGCCTGTAGGTGTTAGATCATTTATTAGCTCACGTGATCTCTGTTATATACTGTTCTTATTGTTCTTCGCCTGTAGTGTTAGATCATTTATTAGCTCTCAAGTTAGTTGGTCCCGTGTGTGATAACGAAACGCAACGTGAGGTATATTGACCAGGGAATATTGATAACTTGGGGGGAAGTATTGATTACTCTGAGGAATATTGATAATTTAGGGATGAATTTGAAGTTAATACTGATTATATTCCGGATTATTTATAATTTGGGAGGAAATATTGGGAATATTTATATTTTGATATTGATGTTTGAGGGAATATTATTTATTTTACTGAATATTGATAATTTAGAAATATTTATTATTTTACGGAAAGTGATAATTTGAGGAATTGATAATAACAATATTGGAAATTTGAAATTATTTAACCAATTTTGGATATACTGATTATATTCCGGATTATTTATAATTTGGGAGGAAATACGGATTAGGGAATAATAACAATTGGGGGAAATAATTCTTTGCATTGATTTGGGGGAAAATTATCAACTTTTTATAGCATTAAAGTCGACGTTTCTCTTGTAGGTCGTGCATGGGCGCCTCTCGCAGACTCTTTAGGTACAATATAATACAATACATACATCTGGGAAAGAGAGATTAATTTTGCATCTGATATTGCCTTGTTTTACAGGGTGAGAAGTCATTACGGAACAGTCAAGAATTAACAAGAGGCCACGACGTATCAAGAAAGGGTTAAGGTAAATGCAAGTTTACCGTTTAGATGCTTAACTGATTAAAACATTACAGTGTATTGCCTTTTCAAAATCTGCACATTCAAATTTTAAGACAATTAAATGTTTTGATTGATATTTTATTCATTTGTAATTTATATACAGTATTGCAGGTCCATAAACCACATATTTGTGATTTGTTGACCAGTGAGCCTTGATGTGTCAGGGGAGGATACTGCCTGCCATACTGTACTTACTAACACCTGCCCCGCCACTACTGGAAACGTATAACGGTGCCATACTTCAGGTACTGAGACACACCAAGGCTTGTTAAATGTTCAGCGTTAGGGTTCTGTTCTACTAACACAGATTTGCAGGATATGTGTTTTAGTCTGCCTTCTCAAGATGTAAAGAAGACACATTGAAGAAACAGTACGATTGATGGAAGACAAAGGACTGAAACTGATGTCAATAGTGCCGAGAATACCACCTCCGCCTAACACACAAGGTAAACTATTTTTGTTTACATAACAGAAGGTTGGGGCATATGTTCACTTAATAACTTGACCTTGGACAGTTAAACGTGTCAACTACCTGCATAGTTTTCACCTTAAGTCTCATATAAGTAATTCACAGTCCATCAAAATATCAAGATGAAAACTGTTTGCAAGATTTAATTAAGTAGAACAGTGTTACCAATCTCAGTGAAAATTTAATAAATACTGCCCATGTAAATGTCTTTATCAGCACATTATGTCTGTGGAACTTTTAAGGCAACAATTTGTTAAGGAAATGTAGAACTAGATGGGTTTATTTTTTCTACGTACGTACAGGCGTTTCATAGGTATCATAAGGTAAAACACTAAACTTACAGAGATCTTGGAAAAAATAGGCATTAAGGAAGGCGGTAGTAGAATAAAGTCTTTACTAGAGACACGAGGCTACAGCGTTAGTAAATAATGAACTTACTTATTGGTTCACAGTTAGACGGAGTAAGACAAGGCTGTGTTGTCCCCAGCATTGTACTGTACTCGTATATGTTCAGAACTCTTAATGAGAGGTTATAAGTGCGGTAATATCAAAACGTTATGTAGATGATACTGTTCTTATCACAGATTATTAAGAAGCGTTAACAAAATTGCTTTACAGATTAGTGGAAAGAGGTGAAAATTATGGCTTAATAGTTAATGCTGTAAAGACTAAAGTAATGGTCGTTTCCAAACTGGATATAAATCCTAAAATAAAAATTATTGGAAACAACAGGAAACTTTAAAAGGAAAAATGAGAAACTCTGGTGATGTAAGTAGGGGTGAGGATTATTGAGGGGCTGATAATATAAATGTTACTGGGCAAAGTCTAGGGTAGGAGGACCAGGGGAAGGTAGAGACTGGGACAGATAAAAGACTGGGGGTCTCCAGAGAGATACAAAACCTTAAAGAATTGGTAAAAAAAAAGAGAACGTTTATTGTGGAGGAAGGTGCTCTGATTGATTGAATGGAAACCTGTTAAAACGTGCTTATTATTGACTCGCCTTTGTAAACGTTGATGGTGGGTGAGGTTTACATCTGCCGCTGACCTGGACTGAGAGACTCGCTTGTGTGTGGAAGAGCTTCATGACAGCGTGGCTCACCCGCACACCTGGCTGGCGCTCGAGCCTTCTTCCGTCAAGGACTGTCCACACTGATCCTATATTTCCTGGAATTACGTCATTGTTCTTTGATATACATCATTGTTTCTCTTGTGATTATTTACATTAATTTTTTTCCAAGTATTTAAAAGACCATGTGAGTAAATGAGGTGATGTACCGCGATGTTTAGATGATATTAATATGGATGTTAATATGTTATGTGGCACCTGGCGGGAGGTGGTCCGTGAGGCAGGTGAGACACTCTATGGCATGTTCAGTGTGGGTTGTAATTCCGTCAGAGTGAGGTTCCCGCTCGTTGCGTCTGGAGCTTTACAATCACGAGATAACTTTATATTAAGTGTTGTCGTCACTTTAATAAACTACGAGGAGAGAGAACCGAAGAGTGTTGGTGAATATCGTGGGGAAGTGACGACTCCGGGGAAGGTTCTTCTCTTCCAGTAAAACGCGCGAGAGTTAAACTTGCGAAAACTGTGTAAGAGTTGTGTGGAGGATGTGGTGTAGGGTGACTGCAGGGGTGAGGCGTGTGTCATGACCATGGACGGTGACACACGTGGGTGACCAAGACAACCATACACACATACCTACACCATGGTTCCCCCCCTGAAGGCTCCTCAACACGCGCCCAGGTGGTAGAGAGAGAAAAAATAGTTGTGGTGACGCAAGACCAGGCTGTCTCCCTCTGTTGGTGACCTGGTACTTTTGTGGTGAGTGTGGCGCTCAAGTCTCCTCCAGGCCAGGGATGTTGTGAGAGTGATAAATAAGAGGATATATTATTACCTCGTGTTAACTTCCGCCAGTGATCTAAGTGCCGCCGTGATCCATATTACCTAAACTTCCCCCTTCAACAAACTGACATAAGAGTCCTTCTATATACCTTTATTGAATAACAAACATCCAGTCAGACGCCTTGTGTATAATAAGTTATACGGTCAACAGTTCAACAAGAAGACTTCAAGAGTTATAATTCGTGGCCGCCCATTCGCAGCTACTTGAGAGTGTAGTGGGCGTGCGGGCGTATGATGCGTGGGCGTGATGCCAGTCAGCTACCAGCGGCGTGGCGGCGGTGGTGATAAACTAAAATTATTTGAGGGATCTGGTGTGGTGGGGGATAGAAGAGGTGGTGAAGAGTGTGGCGAGATGCCGGGGGACATGGCCAGCATCAAGTATGAACTTGAGGACTACGTATACGAGATGGAGTGTCGTGCTGGAGAGATAACTCGGTCCGAGGAAGCCGAGGTCGAGGATATCAACGCCCGTTTGGCTCAGAAGGAGCGAGACCTGATCCTAGCCGCCGAGCTGGGCAAGGCGCTGCTGGAGAGGAACGAACTCCTGGTGCAGCAGAATGAACGACTGGCCGAAGACTACAGTCACAAACTTGAGGTGAGTATGGTTGTGGTGGAGGGTGTGGTAGGAACGAGACATGTTTTCAGTGAAGTGCCGTCGTAATTCCTCTACTCAATCAATCAATCAGAGTATCGTCCTCATATCTGAGGGTTGGCGACCACAGTCCTCCACTCTAAACGTCCTCGGGCTGTTTTTACCAATCCTCTTAGGTTTTGTATCTCTCTGGGACCCAGTTTTTTGTTTCCTTCATCCATCCCAGCCTCTCTCTGCCTTCGCCTTCCCTCAACTTTGCCCATAAATATTTCTTTTATTATCTTCTCATCCCCAATTGACCAAAATATCTCATTTGTCTTTTTCTCTACAGTTCAGGTATAAGTTTTTGCTACTCCCTCTACTTCGTCATGTGTTTTTCTGTCACTGTAGCTTATTTTTACCATTCTCCTGTAACCCCACATTTCAGAGGCCTCCAACCTGAACTACTATTCCAGCTGGAGACAAACTATAATTGACATATCTAGTAATCATATACCAATAATCTTTTCCATTATAACACTGTAAGTAGACTATACATCTAATCATTACACTTGTAAAATAATCATGGATGTGACTCACTTAATCAACAAGTTTAGACGATGGGTATTACTTTACGTGATGCTGACAGAGTGTGGGGGCAAGGTTATCTACCCATGTTTTACCCTGGAGCTATTTCGATAATATAATGCTGTATTTATGGTGGTTATTTAATGCGATAATCAGTATTAAATAATAATGTCATCATATCCTTGTTAGAGTATCATCTTTAGTCGAGGATTATAATCAGTATAATAGTTTTCAATTGCCCTTGTTTGTTTTTTTCACAACTGACTTGATGATGCGGTTTCAGTCTGACAACTAATTGGGATCATCTGAGGATTATCCCCCAGTTTATTCACCTTAACCCCTTTATCGCTAACCTAACTTAACCTAATCAACATTAATATAATCTAATCCTTACTTAATCTAAACCTAACCCAATCCTCGCTAACACAACCTAACCTAATCTACACTAACCTAACCTAACATAGCCTAATCCACCTCCCCTCTCCAAGATAGTTAAGATATTTAATTATCAGATGAAATTAGCTGGTGGGAGGGGGGCTAATCTTCAGGTGATTTAACGTATAAATCACACCCACATGCAAACAACTCTCTCTCTCTCTCTCTCTCTCTTTCTCTCTCTCTCTCTCTCTCTGGCGAGGCTTGGTGACTCAGGCGTTAAACAGCCGCTAATTAACCACACTACTGGCCGCAGCTTCTTGATCTCCATTTCGTCATCGCCGCCCAAGCATTACCTCAGCCACAAGACAATGGTGTAGTGAAGGAGAGACACATTTTACCTCGCTTGGTTAGGGCCCCTCTCTTGTATGTAACACCGGAATCATGTTGTGTTGACACGCTCGAAGTCATAGTAGGTGTGGGTGTGTGAGGCTCTAGCAGGGGTGTAGTGGGTGCGTGAGGGTGTTGCAAGGGTGTAATGACAGTGTAGTAAGGGTGTAGTGAAGGTATAAGGAATATTCATCATACCAGCCTGTAAGAATCTGCACACCGAAGGACCTTGAATAGTGTAAGTCCAGAATCTGTGAGAGTGAGTCACGTCGTTTATAGTTCGAGGCAGTTACATCATTCCAGAGGCTCTTTTGTTTTTAGACTTGTCATTTGTTAGAACCTGTTGTGATGATTTTAAACTCTGAGGAAAGCAAGACCCCCTCCTCCCCCCCCTTAAATATGACATCATTCTGTCGTTTATAGAAGCTGGTTTTATTCTGTTGTTTATAGTTGTTTTTATTTTGTCGTTTATAGAAGCTAACGTGTCTTCAATCATTTAGAAGCTAAGAAGTGTACAGTCATTTATCTTAGCCGTTAACAGAAGCTAAGATATCTACGAAGGGTCCTTTAGCTGTGAGACTCTGTACAGTAATGGCAACTGGGATGACTGCTGAGAGTTTTGAGTTAGCGCAACGGTATTCAAGGGGTGGTGTTGAAGGCTCTTTACCCCAGCTGTGATACTGGGTGGGTGCTGTCAACTCTCTCTCTCTCTCTCTCTCTCTTGTACTGTAACGGATGTGTTTTATTATGGTACTAACTCTTGTATCTCTGTTATCTCAATCAATCTCCCTTCTCTTCTCTTCTCTTATCTGTCTATAATAGTGTTCCACGTTATTCCTCTTCCACAATTCCCCAAACACATTTTACATTCTCTATTAATAAACTGAAGTTGGTAAAAATAACTCAACATTCTCCTTGTTGACATTCTACCATGTAAATACTCCCTATGCGTCAATCTGCCTTAATTGTTATGGTAATTCCCTGATCACAGCAAGTTCCCAGACATATGCTGGTAAAAGTTGGTAAAATTAACCTAGCAATCTCTCTGTTTACATTTTACCGTGTTAATAGTCTTGGTTGAGTTTGCTTTGTTGTGTTAAGTTCCCAGACATACGGTATTTATTTCCCGTATCTGATGTTGTTGGTAAAAGTAACACGGCAATCTCTCTGTTGACAATCTGCCATGGTGATATAGACCGGATCAATGTGCATGATAATTACTGTTTCGTGAGCTTTTGGAGGTTAGTTTGGGTCCTGGGGGACTTGTCTTGTTCCTGGTAATGGGAGCATAACACTCAAGCTACTGCGTAATTTGTCCTCGGTTGACTTAGTGTAGGTTAGATTAGGTTTAGAAGGTGATATATGAGCGTCTGTTAACGTAGAATAGGTTAGGTTAGCTTTAGGTCATGTTAGGTTAAATTTAATTGATATATCGGCTTATGTATACTTAGAATGGGTTAGGTTAGGCTATGGTTAGATCAGTTCCTAGTCTGATTAGAATAACCTTTCCTTAGGCTACGTTAGATTTAGGACCTTCTAAATCTAACCTATTCTAAGTTTACGTAAGTTTCTGTCTCTCTAGTTAAGCGTGGACGTCCATTAACTACTCTGATTTTATGCCTTTAACCAACCAACCCTCCAACCGAGCTCTCCGGGGTGTGTCAGTCGACGTAACTTTCCAAGAACACCGCCTCGAAGCCACCTCGCTGCCTTGGTGGGTCATTTTGGCTTTAAACAAACAGCTGACTGTCTCAGCCGCAAGAATCTCACCTTTTGTGTCGTGCCTTATCTCCGGGTGATGGGAGGGGGGATTAAAGAGGTAGGGGTGGGGAAGGAAAGGAGGAGGGCTAGGGAAGGAAGGAGAGATAGGAAAGAATGGGAGAAGGGAAGGAAAGAGGGAGGGGAAGGAGAGAGAGATGAGGTGGAGGAAATGAGTTAATAGTTCGGAATTTGGAAGAAGCTTAGGGAGAAGGAGAGTATGACGGGGGAGGACGGAAGGAGGGATGGGGGAAGGACGGAAGGAGGGGATGGGGAAGGAAGGAGGGAGGGGGATGGGGGAAGGAAGGAGGAGGGGGGATGGGGGAAGGAAGGAGGAGGGGAGGAAGGAAGGAAGGAGGGGATGGGGGAAGGAAGGAGGAGGGGATGGGGAAGGACGGAAGGAGGGATGGGGGGAGGAAGGAAGGAGGGAGGGATGGGGGAAGGAGGGAGGGGAGGGGATGGGGGAAGGAAGGAGGGAGGATGGGGGAAGAAGGAAGGAGGGATGGGGAGGACGGAAGGAGGGATGGGGGAGGAGGATGGGGGAAGGAAGGAAGGAGGGATGGGGGGAAGGGAAGGAGGGAGGGGATGGGGGAAGGAAGGAAGAAGGAGGGGATGGGGGAAGGAAGGAGGAGGGGATGGGGGGAAGAAGGAAGGAGGGGGGGGATGGGGGAAAGAAGGAAGGAGGGAGGATGGGGGGAAGGAAGGAAGGAGGATGGTGAAGGAAGGAGGGAGGGGATGGGGGAAGGAAGGAGGGAGGGATGGGGGAAGGAAGGAAGGAGGGAGGTCATCTTGTGGCCTTATGCCGATATAAAAATAAGTAATACAAATATATAATAAGGAAGAAAACTTATATTTTCATTTAATTGCATTTGTTTATTATTACCACCACTACTACTACTACTACAACTACTATTACTACTACAGCTACTATTACTACTACAACTACTATTACTACTACTACAACTACTATTACTACTACAACTACTATTACTACTACTACAACTACAACAAGAACATAATAATAAATAAAACTAATAAGTCTGTAGGTTGTAGTGGCTCTCTATTTACACCTAACCATTATTAGAGGCTTGAGACTATTCACATATTCATGGTATTATAAGCTTGTTCCTATATAAAATTACCTGGGATTATATCATTATTTTTTATAGTATACCCACGATTTATTTAGATTACCTTTATTGTATTTTATTTTGGGGGGAGGGGAGGGGGTCATCATTATTATTATCAGGTAATTAGAAAACATGTTAATTGGGTCTACACCTGTTGTCTCTCTGCACTACAGGTAACCAGGTTTGTGGGGGAGTCAGGTGATGATTAGGCAGCCTAGTTTATGTTACCTGATGATTAAACACTTTAATGCTAACCTCTTAATATATTCTAACTTAGTTTTTATACATACGTACAGGCAGACACACACACACACACACACACACACACACACACACACACACACACACACACACACACACACACACACACACACACACACACACACACTCACATACACACACAGTAGATAGATAGATAGAATCGTCATTAATCCCAGCATGTATATAAAACGCTGTGCAGGAGAGAGAGAGAGAGAGAGAGAGAGAGAGAGAGAGAGAGAGAGAGAGAGAGAGAGAGAGAAAGTACAATAATGTCACAGAGTAAAATAATATTCCCTTTGATGCTTCCCGTTGTGCGAGTTGAACAACCTTTCACCACCTACGCCCACCCCGCCCACTGCCGCCCACACTCTAACCATATGCCGGTCCTCCCGTGTCCACCACCTGTCCACTCCACCCACATCCCGTCCACCACCTGCCCACAACCCACCCAACCCTACCCCGTCCATTACACCTCATTATACGCACACTCCGTCCACCCTCTTCCCACACCCCGCCCACCAC